CCCCCCCCCCCCACGCTATCCCCCTGCCTTTTCTCCCCTCCTTCCTCCTTCATATCTGAGGGAAATCTCACTTCTCTTCCAAGTCCCAGCAAGAAGGCCTGAAAGTTTTTCAAGGCCACCACCCCGCCCCTTTTCCTCCTTTGAATTCCACACCACCTCCCTCACCTCGAGGGTTGGAACAGGTGGCAGATCCATCACCTCCTCCCGGATTGGCGAGTTTGTCTGACCTTCAAGACTCACGCCCGTTTAACTTCACCATCTACTGGCCTTATCACCCATTGGCTTGTTAATCACCTCTAAGACCCACTTCCTTTTCCCTTCCGTGGCTCCTGCACTTCGGGGCACAGGTTCACCTGCGATTCCCTCCTTTCATTGGTTGCTCTGTCCACTTCTTTCTCCCCTCCTTCCCTCAGAGCTGCACTTCTTTTTTTTTTTTTTTTTTAAAGATGACCGGTAAGGGGATCTTAACCGTTGACTTGGTGCTGTCAGCACCACGCTCAGCCAGTGAGCGAACCGGCCATCTCTATATGGGATCCGAACCCGGGGCCTTGGTGTTATCAGCACCACACTCTCCCGAGTGAGCCACGGGCCGGCCCCTCAGAGCTGCACTTCTACCTCCCTTCTATTGGCTCTTCATTCTGCCCATCTTCAAGTACACTCGCCTACTCTCCACTCATTGGTTAGTTTTTCCGCTCGAGCTTGTAGCTCTGCCTCTCTATTGGCTCCTTCAAACTTCGGCCCTTACTTGCCTGGCAAACGTCCTACCTACCATCTACCCCCGAATCTTATTGGTTCACTGACCCGCCCGTCTCTTTTCATGTACCCTCTTTGGCCGCATCGCCCGCCCGTCACTCACCAGACTACATCTGATTGGAGAAGGAGGTGGGCGCACCCTGAGGGCCGTAGCCTTGCTGCCCATAGTCGCCCTGAGGCCCGTAGCCACCGCCACCGCCAACGGCGGGCTGCCCGTAGTCGGGCTGGTAGCCGCCCTGGGGCCCGTAGGAGTCTTGGGGCCCGTACCCGCCGGGGCCCTGCCCGTAGCCCGCATCGCCATAGGCGTCCCCGGGTGCGGGTTGCTTCTCAGGGGCGCCGGGAGGCGCACGCAGGAACGGGGCGGCCCAGCCTGTCTCCTTGAACACGAACCACAGGTTGCCGATCCAGAGCACCAGGTTCAGGAAGCCGAACACCTGCAGAGAGACAAGGCCCGGTTGTCGTCCCCCGCCCATTGCCTTCGCGGCCCTGGGGGACATCGAGGCCGCGCGCTTAGGAATGGGTACATAGAGCATGGATCCGTGGGCTCCCAGAGGGTGGTGGTTTCTGAAACCCGGACCCTCTGAGTCCCAGCACGTGAACTGTGTGCAGAAAAATCACCTTGGGGTGGGGGGAGCGCGTATTAGAATTCAGATTCCCAGGGATGTTGAGATCTATCAGTATTATATATATGAGTATTTATATATTTGCACATGTACATATTACCAATACACGTTTGTACCTGTGTAAAATACAGTAAATTTAAATTTGTAACATTTATAGTAAAATGTAAGCATACATTTGTATTAAATACAGATATACCATTAACAGATGCATATATACACATATGTATAAATACAAATATATGTATAAATGCACATGTATAAATATATACTTTTGTATTAAAATATAAATATATGTCCTTGTGTACCTAAACTAATTAAAATAAAATATAAGTATATAAAAAATAAAATATTTTTAAAACATAAAACATTTTATATACCTTTTACTATATGCCACACCCTATTCTAAGCACTTTACGTGTTATTTGTTTACTTAAAATCCAATTTTTGGACAGGAAATAATATCTCCATTTTACAGTTGAGGAAACTGAGTCCCATAGAGGTTAAGTTGCCCAAAGTCTCACAGCCAGCGAGTGAGCAGAAAGAAGAGTTGGAATCTTAGTATGTGTAACACGCTTGTATAAGACTTAGCTGGTGCCAGGTCCTTTTCTAAGCACTAAGCATGTTATTAGTTCATTAAATACTCAACTTTGGAGCAGGACCTATTATTAATCTTCGATTTACTTACTCAAACTGAGCCTTGAGAGGCTGCGTAACTAGTTTCAGGTCACAGAGCTTGCAAGTGGCAGAGCAGGAATTTGCCTCTTCAGTAGGGGGCATCCAGGTGGGGAAACATTTCAAGTTATTCTTTCATTTTGCACATGAGGAAACAGGTCCCAAGAGAGTACTGATTTGCCTGAGATTCTACATGACTGGATCATGGGATCAAGGCTGGATCTGGGATCAAGGTATCCCAAGCCTAATCTGGACAGAAGATCTCACTTTTCCCCCTTGGGGACGTGGTGTCACAGTGGTTACAATTGCTTTCTTATTCTTCAATGCTCTGTTGAATGTTGTTGGCATGTGTCCCCCAGGGAGCCCCCTTTGATCTCTCCTGATTCTCCTCTCATTGTTTTTCTCCACTCCTCCCCATGCCAGACTATAAGTTCCCATCCTCACCCTCCAGCTGGCCCATCTACTTCCCAGGACTTACCACTGAGGTGTTGAGCCCTGAGGTCACAGGATCCCTCAGTTCCTTGCATGTGATTTCTGTCTGGCTGCAGATAGGCATCTGCTTGATAATGTTTTCTGGATCCGTGGCCATCTTCACGTCTGACAGCCCCTTGGCCCATGCTGATGAGCTAACTAGCCACATGAAGGCAAACACTGCCGTGGCCAGAAAGTCCTAGGGCGGGCAGAAGTGAAGAAGACTGAGTGGGCTGCTTCACCATGGACCCTGGGGCCTCCTCAGATCACAGACTTTCTGGGGGAGGCCCCCCAGAAGAGGCCTGTCTCTCCCCTGCCTCTTCATCTCTGAAGCCCACAACACTTTCACCTGAAGGTGGCCCTCCCAGCTTGGGCTTGTGTGTGTGTACATGGCACAGAGGGTGTGGGAGTGTGATTGTGATATGTGGGTGTTGGGGGGAGGGAACTCTGTCAGATGGTTTCCGAATCTGTGGAAAGTAATGTGTCTTTCCACTTTTGTCTGCATGTGGGAATTTATGTCATTTTGTGTTTGGGATGAGGGTGTGTGAGTACAGCTGTGTAGGAATCAGTATGTCTATGTGGTGTGATGACATGCATGACTGTCACAGAGAACCTCTGTGTGCTCTTTCCTTTGATGTAGACTGCGTGGTTGTGTGAAAGTTGACAGGTTCACAGGTGTGGGCCTGTCTGGGATTCTGTGTGGGCTGCGAGTATGTCCCTGTGACTCTATGACTCTGTGTCCCTGATGTCCGATGTGGACTCATAGCAGCAGCAGCAGCAGCAGCAGCAGCAGCAGCAACAACATGTGTGGTTATTATGGTGGCTGCTTGCATGGGGGCCTGTCTAGGATTTGGTGTGGCCCGTGAGCATGGCTGTGTCCCTGAGGCTCTGTGTCCCTATGGTCCTTGCATGCAAGCAGCTGTGGGGACTCACCATCATGGGCCCTTTGTTGTTCTCTCGGTACTTGTTCTGCAGGAAGATGTAGGTGGCCAGAGCCCCCATGGAGTAGAGGAAGGCAAACACGGCCACAGTGACAAAGAATTCGGCCGATGAGGAGTAGTCCCCCACTAGGAAGACCTTAGTTGTGCCCCCTCGGCAGTTTGGTGCATCAAAGTACACTTGGTGCAGCCTGCAAAGAGAGGTAAGCAGGTGTGGCCTATCCCCTAAGAACTCCCTCACCACCTTCCTGCCCAGTCATGGGTCCCCAGATTCTGACAAGGTCCCAGGAAGAGGAGGAAATAACCATTCACAGAGCACCTACTATGTACCAGTCTCATGTCATTGATTACTCAAAGCATCCTGGTGAGATAGGTGTTATTTATCCTTCACTCCAACCCAGGTACTCTGGCCTCTTGGTTATTCCTAGAACTTGCCAGGCATCCTCCCACCCCGGGATTTTTGCACTGACTGTTCCCTCTGCCAGGAATGCTCTTCCTCTAGATAGCTTCATATCCTGCTCCCTCATCTCCTTCAATCTTTGTTCAGCTGTTACCTTCTCAGTGATAACAGTGGAAATCAGGCCTTCCCTGATTTTGCTATTTAAAATTAAATTGAACCATTCCCTCCTAGCACTCCTTAGCACTCTTCCTTGCTCCATTTTTCTCAGTAGCAGTGATCCCCATCTGAAATACCATGTTTTGTACTTTTTCATCTTGATTTTTGTTGTAACTATAAGAGGGCAGGGCTTTTTCCTCTGTTTTGTTCATTGCTGTGTCCCCAGGGCCTGGAACAGTGCTGGCATATAGTAGGTTCTCAAGAAATGTTTATTGAATGAAATATACAAAGGTGGAAACAGGCTCAGAGAAGTGCATTAACTTGCCTAAAGTCACACAGCTGGTGAGGGAATGGCTGAGTTGGGATCTGAACCCTGTTTTCCCCCTACATCATGTTGATTCTTCTCCCCAACCCATTTCAGGCTCCTGAGAGAAAAAAATATATGCACGGAGAGCCCACCAACTACAAAATAAGATAAGACAGGCAGAAAAGAGGATAGAGGGATCTTGGAACAGGATGTATGTGAGGGAAGACAGGTAGACTGGGAAGGTGTCCTGAGACTACAGCCTTTCCAGTGGTGTGATGGAGGAGGAGGTTGTAGGGAGAAAACATGTGTAGGGAGAAGGATTGGAGTGAGGTCCCAGAGCTCTGGCCTCAGATTGGGGGATAGGATCCTGAGACTGAACAAATGGTGCTGGTGCTTTTGTGTAGCAAAGGTCCTGAGGAAAGGGGTCTACACTTTTTTTCTTTTTTTAAGATGACTGGTAAGGGGATCTTAACCCTTGGCTTGGTGTTGTCAGCACCATGCTCACCCAGTGAGCGAACCGGCCATCCCTATATAGGATCCGAACCCATGGCTTTGGTGTTATCAGCACCACACTCTCCCAAGTGAGCCATGGCCGGCCCGGGGCCTAAGCTTATTGATCAGCTACTAATCACTTTACATAACTGTCTCATTTAATGACACCTCCTCCCAGCAATTCTCTAAAGCAGGCACTATTATAACCGTTTTACAGATGAGCAAGGGATAGCAATGTTAAGTTACTTGCTTAAGGCTGTAAAACTGCTAAGTGGTAGAGCAAGAAGTTGAATCTGGGTTTGAGTTTCTGTGTTTCTAGTGGGCTGGGTTGGGAGAGGGGGTGTCCAAAGGGGAATGAGGGGTCCTTGGGGGGTATCAGGGCAGTAGAAGGAGGACCCAGGGCAAACTTTTTTTCTGGGAGACTTGTGGGTAAAGGGCAGATCTTCAGGACCCAAGGGAGGGGCAGGGGGTCCCCAGGGGATTTTTATGGTCTTGTGGGTTCCCAAAGGCCAGCTCTAAGCAGTATTCCACATTGCCCACTACCCCTCCTTCCCCAAACTCTCTTTCCCCTGGCTTCTGTGAACTGGTGGTTCCCTGGTTGCCCCTCTTCCACTCAGGCCATGCTTTCCTGGAAGCTCCTCTGCTTTCCATCACTGTTTAGGGCCTATGCTGGGCTTTCCTTTATTTTCACTCTTCTCTCTCTCCACTGGATGATCTCTTGAGCCTACATTTACCTTTAGTGTTCTAACCCCCCACCCCCAGTTTTGAACTCAACCCCTGACCTCTTTCCTAAATCCCTCAAACTTATTTCACTTATTTAACAAACACTTATGGAGCATTATTGTGTGCTAGGCACTGTGCTAAGTACTTTATAAGTATTAAGTCATTTAATACTAACCACAGTCCTGTGAGGTGGGTATTATTATTATTCCCTTTTACAGATGAGGTAATTGAGGCCCAGAGCTGTTATGTGCTTTGGCCAAGTAGTGGAGGAGCCTCAGAAGCTTCTTCTGAAATTGTGTCTGTGAGTCTCTGTGGGTCTCTGTTAGGGTAGCAACCATGCCAGCTTGTGCTTGCCCTTGTGAACCTAGCACCCAGCACAGTGCCTGGCACACAGTGTGAGCTCAATTAATGTCAGAATTATTTAATTGAGTTCAATCATTCCCTATATCTAAGCTTCATCGCCTCATTATTCTCTATCATAAAACCCTGCATGAGGATCCTCTCCTTATTTCTCTCAATCAGTAATTATCCCTCTTTATTAATTTATTTGTTATAATGTAGGCTCTATGAGGGTAGAGAGCTTGGTCTGTTTTTTTTTTTTTTTTTTTTTTTTAATAGCAAAACATCACATTAAAAAACCCCACGAATATATACAATTATTATTTGTCAATGAAAAATACAATTTTAAAAAGCATGCATTTTCTTGCTTTATTTCCAAGTGTGAGAAATTTTTTTTTTTTTTTTTTTTTTTAAAAGATGACCGGTAAGGGGATCTTAACCCTTGACTTCGTGTTGTCAGCACCAGGCTCAGCCAGTAAGCCAACCGGCCATCCCTATATGGGATCCGAACCCGCGGCCTTGGTGTTATCAGCACTGCACTCTCCCGAGTGAGCCACGGGCCGGCCCCGAGCTTGGTCTGTTTTAGTCTCTGTTATGTCTCCAGCACTTCGAGCAGTAACTGGCATACAATAGGTTCTTGAAAAATGTGGATGGAATGAATGAATGCATAGTGATTAATAATATTGGCTAACATTAATTGAGCACCTACTGCATTAAGGTGTATATATATGTGTGTGTGTGTCTTTTACTTTTGAATCTTGTTATTGCTTGTCCTTCACTGCTTCCCTTCACTAGAACAGAAGAAGAGGGCGACAGGCTATGTCTGTCTTCCTCACCACATAGTGCTAGATGTCCGGAGCAGTGGCAGGTACAAGGCAGGTGCTCAGTGCATGGGCAGTGATCCGAGTGGGCGTGGCCTCTTGGAGGGGGCTGGGCAGGCCACCCCCCTACCCCCCCCCCCNCTCCCCCCCCCCCCGCCTCGCCCAGGTCTGTTGCGATCCCAGGGCAGGGGCACACCTGAAGGGGTACTCGAACTCAACCTCGATGCTGAGGTCACTCTCCGTCTTGTTGGCACACTCCACGCTCAGCCGGAGCTCCCCGTTGTAGCTGCCGCATGTGGCAAAGGCGAAGATGGCAAAGACCTTGGGCAGCAGGCATGGGGATGGCCACAGTGAGCCTGTGTGCGCAAGGGAGGGGGTGCCCTCCTCTGGACAGATCAGGGGCCCAGCACAGGCAGCAGCAGATGGAGCGATCCCTACCCCCACCCCCTAATCAGGGCTCATCGGGGACCAAGGACAAGCTGATTATAGGGGTGTGGCTGTCTCTTCCTGTTTCTCTCTCTCCCCCTGTATCTCTCTCTGTCTCTACCTCTCCATTCTCCGACCTCCCTCCTTCTGTCTCTCTCTGTCATTCTTTGTGTGTCTCACTGTGTCTCTGTTTCTCTATGTGTCTTTGTCTTTCTCAGATATCTCTTTGTCTCTCTTTGTCTCTGATTCTCTGCGTCTGCCTCTCTGGTCTCTTTCTGTCTTTTTTTTCTCTGTCTCTCCATGTGAGTGCATGTCTCTCTCTATGTCTGTCTTTCTGTTTCTTCTGTTTGTCTCTGTCTCTCTGTTCTGTCTCTCACTCGGTCTCTGTATGGTTCTCTCTGTCTCCCTCGTGCTTCTCTTTCTCTGTGTGTTTGTTCCTCTTTTCCTCTTTTTTTTCAGAGTATCTTTTTTCCTCTCTCTGTCTTTTTCTCTCCCCCACCCCATTTTTCTGCCTCTCTCCCTGTGTCTATTTCTCTTTGCATTTCTGTTCTCTGTGCATCTTTCTGTCTCTCTTTCCTTAGTCTCTGTGTGTCTCCTCTCTCTCTTATTTCTGTATCTCTTCTCATCTCTGTATTTTTCCCCCTATAATTCCATCTCTGTCTCCATCATTCCCTGTCTCTCATTCTCTCTGTCTCCTTCACTGTCTCTGGTTTTCTCTGGTTTTGCACCTCTCCCTCTCCCCCAGAAATCAGCTATAGCCTCCACCTCCCCCATCCCTTCCTCACTTCACAATATGCCAGTTCACAACAGGGGTACCCTCAACCCTATGTGATGTCACAGCCCATCCGTTCTCTGGCCCCAAACCCCTGAGACCTCACCCTGGGACTCAATCTCCCCACCCCCTTCCACCCCTCCATCCATTCCTCGCCCCCACCCTTACCCCGACCCTCTGCTCTTCTGGAACCCACTACCTTCCTCTCTCCGTGCACTCTCCCCCAACGGCCCCGACCACACTCACCCATTGCAGCACCTTCACGAAGCCTAGGGGCTCCTTCACCACCCGGAACTGACCCCCAGCTACCAGCTGAGGAGAGAAACAGTGGGGAGGGGTAGGGTTGTTGGCGGTGAAGAGGAAGGTGAAGGACAAGGCTGCCAAGCAATGACCCCTAGGGATAGGGCATGTGACCTCGGGTAGGGGGTGAGAAAGAGAAAGTGACACTTGGGGAGGGTGTGAGCACCAGGGTCTCTGAGAGAAGACCCCGGGGGTTCAGGACTGGTGGGGAGGTCTGGTGTGATGGTGAGTCAGATGGCATGGGAGGTCAGGGGTGAGGAGGATGGGGATGGAGTCAGGACTAGGTTAGAGAAGGGGAGAAGGTCTGAAACCTAAAGGTGAGCCAGATTGGAAAAGGGGTCAGGTAGAAAGTGAGGAAGGAGTCGGGGTTCATTAGGGTGGGGGAGGGGGTCTTGAGTGGTGAAGGTGAGTCATAACAGCGGGAGTCGGGTTGGCTAAGGTGGAGGAGGGGTCCGCAGCGGTAAAGATGAATCAGATGGTGGTGGTAGGGGGTCTGAGATGACGGGGATGGGGAGGAGTGGTACTAGTTAAGGAGGGGTGAGGTTCTCCGGTGGTGAAGAAGAGTGAGATGGCGGAGAGGGTCTGGACTGATTAAGGTGGGGGAGGGCTGGGACATGGCTTCACTGGATATTTGTTGGGAGACAGGGGACTGAGGGTTTTGGAGAGGCAAAGCCGGATCGTCCCTCTAGATCTGCTCTGGGGGAAGGGGTGGTCGTCAACACGGGTCCAATCTCTGTTTGGAGGGGCGGGTGCCAGCCCTACCCCCTTCGTATAATGTATGCTATACGAAG